AAATGTAATTCTTAGTGATTAAAGCTTAATTTGGAAACCTGTTTTTCCTGATTCTTGAACTGGCTTTCAAATTAAGAGTAACTTTCCAAAGTTATTCACAGTGTTAATACTTAAGAAAATGGTCTTGAGACTGAGAACATGAAAATTTCAGGTCTTTGATACTCTCTGGCACTTTTCACTTGTGGAACCACCTAAATTTAAATCACATTTAAATCACAGCATTTACCTGGTTCTTATTTACTGTTGTAATTTGAATATAAATGTACTTGTTGCTGGTTGTGGTACGATCATTACTTATAATGATTCAAATAGAGATTCTTTGATTAGCAAGATGTATTCATGTAGTACAGTAGAAGCTTATCATTATTGTGCAATTAAAATGCAACCACTTATTTTTAGCCTAGTTTTGTACAGTTTAAGCGCCCATTGCAGCAATTAAGAATGAACTAGTTCTGCTGCAGATTCCCTCTTCAGTCACCTTATTACTGCATCTGCTTCTTGCCATTCACATGTTCATTTCACCTCAAAACACAAATATAAGGTAAAATACAGTGATTCAGAAACATCTGAGTCAGCTCATCCCCACTTCTGAGTTGTGTAATTGCGGTGAAAAGATATTTTACTGCATAAATGTTCTGTTGTTAAAATAGGTTATATATTATTTACATCTGTCAATCTATCCAGGATCTTTCAGAACAAATCATCACAGGATTGTTTGTATATGGGTATAAAATATGCATTCCTTATAATATGCACCTTTTCTATATTTTACGATTTCAAATGCTGAAATGATTTTAAATTAAAGCCACACTTGAAATGGAAAATAAGTTAATGGAATCTGATATATTATATATAGTGGTATACAAAGAATGTAAAATCAAATGGAGAATGTGATGCCTGGTATAAATAATTTGCTTGGCTGCTGTTGAAATGTTTGTCCAGTTTTGGACATTTCACTTTGGTAGGATGTCAGAGTCATAGAGAGGATTCAAAGGAGATTCACTGGGATAATACCGTGGATGAGAAGTATTGCTAATGAGGAAAGGTTAAGAGATACTGTGGCTATTTTCCTTACAACAGAGAAGGCTACGAAGAGATGAGATAGAGGTTATTAAATAATATAATAATAACCCTTGCATTTGATATAGCACCTTATCACATTGTTGAGACGTATCTCAAAGCATTTAAAGAATATACTGTAAAGAGAATTGACTGTATATTTTGTGGGTGAAATGCGGCAGCCAATTGCACACAGCAGTGTCCCACAAACAGTTGTGGATTGAGTGACCACATTTTTTTTAAAGAAATTATTACCTTCGGAAATTGACTAACAACTGGGTTACTATTTATTTCTAGGTAAACAGAGGCGTGTGTGGAATAAGAAAACTTGTCTAAAGTTTCACCCTGTCTGGAAATTGAACCTGGGTCCTTTTTTGCCTTGCGAGGCGAGGCGAGCGTTCTCACCACTACACTACAGGACGGTGTCATAGATACATTTTGCCTCGTTTTCACTCCGTCCATTCATATTAAGATGGCACCCTGTACATGCCGTGAAAATGATGGTGCTCACACACACACACACACACACACACACACACTTACGGGGCGGCTAAATACATTTGCACCTTTGTACTGAGTATAATTAAGGACAGTGGAGGGGGGTTTCATCCAAACCAATACTTCATCAAAATTATGAGGGGTTTTGATGAAGTAAACAGAGAAATTGTTTCCATTGGTCAGTGAGTCAGTAATTAGAGGGCGTAGATTTAAGATCAATATTAAAATATAATAATAAATAATAATAGAATAATAAGAGCAAAGGAGAAATGCAGTTAGGAGAAATGTGCTTACACATAGTGTTGTTAGGACCTGTAAAATCCTACCTAGAAAGGTGGTTGAGACAGAATCCGTATTAGATTTTTAAGAGGGAATTACATAACTACTGTATTTGAAAAGGACAAATACAAACTGGTCTGGGGAAAAGGCAGGATAATAGGACTAAATGGGTAACTCTTTCAGAGTCTCTAGCTCTTTCAGATAGCCAGCAAAGACAAAATGGGCTGAATTCTGTGCTGTTAGATTTTTGTGTTTCTATGTAATATTTAGCACAGCTATTTCTTTTTTTATTCTCTACTTTGGTAAAAAGAGTAGGAAGGAGTAGGATGTTTCTGGTGCTCCTTTGGAGAATGTCATGTCAGGTCTTTCTGTTACACACTGGAACCATGCCTATGCAGAAGGGAGCCAAGGGAGCCACTTAATACTTACTAGCTGACAAGAAATCCTTTTACAGGCACTGAATACTATTAAACAAAATCTATACTGGTCTTGAGAAATCACCACAGTATTGATTGAATTTTTCCAAGAGATACTGTTGCTGAATCTACTTCCTGACCTAAGCCTTAGTCTGTAAGACTTTTATTTTATCTTAAAATTTAAGATTGTGGAAACTTCTTAAATTCTGCCTTAATTTAGAAGTTGGTTCTTTTTAAGAACCGTAGAAAAGAAATAGCTTCCAAATTACAACTCAAGTAAACAATTTTCCATAATTTAAAATTTTAAGAGAAAACTGACTTTCAGACTAAGTCTAGGTGGAATTTGGGGGCATCTAATCAGCTATTAAAGGTTACAGCAAGAAAAACAACAACTTGCATTTACATAGCGTATACGTAGTGTGCTGGGGATCTTGACAGTGGTGGAGTCTGACCCCGAGCCAGAAGGAGGGGGAGGTGACTGTAAGCACGATCAAAGGAGGTCAAAGGAAGGTCTTTGGGTGGGATTTGTTATTAACAATTCTGCGGAATTAGGTAAGCAACCTGCGCCCCTCCAGAAAGAGAGCGTGCATTCCATTTCATACATGGGAATTTGCATGTGTAGGTGGGATACACAGAACTCTTAGTCTGGTTTGGGTACTCTTTAAGTGTAGTGATGGTTTTTTTGAGTGTGGCAGACACCAAGCTGACCAAAATAAACCTTATAAATGCGGAGAACTGGAGGAGAATACATGAGTTTTTCCATAAAAAGAAAGGGATTCTGGAGTCAATGTCAAATGTTAACTGACATCATATAAAGAATCAAAATACTCCATTTTCTCTCAGTGGTTTAATGCTTTTAATAATATAAGAAGAATCCTTGCATTTGTAGGAATCTCTTTACCGTAGGTGTTTTTGTGAGTAACTGCAATAATCCCAGATATTCCCAAATCCTGAGATTATCTGTAATTTTGTAACAGAAATATAACAAAAGGTAAAATCTTATAGTGCAGCATTGCTGATTAAAATAAAGCACTGCATTATAATTTCTGGATAATCGTAGGATCCCATGTATTTTATATGGATTCCTATTTATTTTACGTAAAGTACATGCAACACTATAATTACCTTCTTTATATTTATCTTTGACTATCTTCCTGTTCGACATTAACCTTTATAGTGATTTATATGGATTTCTTTTACATAAATCACTATAAAGGCTAATGTCAAACTGGAAGAGCAACAAATTAAAGAAATGAGGCTCCAGGTTGGATATACTCATTGGGATTGATGTGAAATTTTTTTATATTTCTTCTCCCGCATTATTAAGTTTACATTTTTTTTAACCATGCGGTGGCGAGCTGTCTGATTGGCGCAGGCACGAAAGAGACATATCTGGGTTTTGACACGTGACACATATTTCAGTACTCTGCCTCAGCATCCATTGACTGTTATAATAATCCTTGCATTTGATATAGCGCTTTTCACGTCGGGAGGACGTCCCAAAGCGCTTCACAGAACAAACTGTAAAGTGAATTGACTATATTTGTTGGCGAACGCGGCAGCCAATTGCGCACAGCAATGTCCCACAAACAGTCGTAGATTGAAAATGACCAATTTTATTATTGTTTTTGGTTTTGGAGGGATTATTATTAGGCGTATGGAGTAAGGAAACTTGCCCAAGGTTTCGCCCTCTGCCTGGAATTGAACTCAGGTCTCTCGCTTGCAAAGCGAGTGCTCTAACCACTGAGCTACAGGACTCCACAAGACTGTTGGCCCTCAATTCTTGCCGTGGAGCAGTAGAAAGAACGCTTCAAAGCACATGCTTCACCGTCTGTTCTCAGAGGTCATCTGTTGTAAAACAAAAGGCTCTAGATAATATTTTCATATGAATTTACAGTGAAGTGGCTGTACAAGACAAGGTGTGAGTGAATACAGCAGCTAATATGTACACAGCAATGTCCCACAATTGAAGTGGATTGAGATGTCTTGCGATGTGTTAAGGCATTATATCAAATGCAAGGATTATTATTGTTTTGAGTAGTTGTGTTATATATTCTCAATCTTATTTTCATTTTCAGTCCCCTCTCTTGGATTTTAATGTCTTCACAACATACAAAGTTACTAATATTGAAGCGGGTTGTCTCACGACGACCAGAATTGTGTACAATACTCGAGGTGTGGGCTACTTCAATACAACTTCTGCTGATGTCATATGTAAAATGAACTATATTGCATCCGATTTTAATATTTAACTTGTTTTGCTCCAACGCATAGTCTATGGTGATTACCTTCCAATGCTAAAGTAAAACTCCTAAACCAAAGTGTGAACTTGCAACAGTTCTAATTAGTTTGTTTTGGCTAATTAAATGGAGCGCTGCTAAATAATAGACTTAATAATAATAATCCTTGCATTTGATATAGTGCTTTATCACATCTTTGAGACATCTCAAAGCGCTTTACAGAATATACTGTAAAGTGAATTGACTGTATATTTTGTGGGTGAAACGCGGCAGCCAATTGCGGACAGCAGTGTCCCACAAACAGTCGTGGATTGAATGACCAAATTATTATTATTAATCTTTTTTTTCATACATGTTCATCATACCTGAGTTATAAGAAATTTGAAATCTGAATGTCTTGAGAAAAATGAACTGAGATTACATGTGGCTTAAAAAAACTTTTTAATAGAAGAATAACTGTACCTCATTTTCTGCTTTAACTAATGGACTTTATTTTCTTACCTTATAGTGATCTGTTGTCGTCGCAGTATGTTGAAAGAAATATTGAAGCAGGAGGCAAGTCTGTTGAATCCAGGGTAAGTCAGAGACGGAATTGTTTTGAGCTCTATAATTAAGATTTCCAGAATAACTCTTATTAAATTGTTACATCATGGCTTATGGTCTGATTTTCCCATCTATTAGTGATTGTCTTTCTGATGTGATGGGCGCTATACAAGTCTTAATTTGTTGTTTATGATCCTACTCCATTATTATATTTCCAAAAACTGTGGAAAAGGGAAACATTTAGCAGGTTCAGCTGATACTTATTTTTTCTTAAATTGTTTAGTCCTCTTTTTGAAAGTTCATCTCTATCTTCAAATTGCTCCCGTTCCTCTCCATACACAATCATGTAGAAAGCATTTCATTTTGTGGTCGCTGATGTCCACTGATATTGCTTAGAATCAACTGACTTTACTCAAAAAATGAGCATGTCTGCCAATGAGAAAGATTTTCAGAAACTGTGACTGTTGAAAGTTATTGGTATTGTGTTTGGTGTTTCAATTGCACACAGGGCAAATGTTGCTAAAGGTTTTAATGCAGGAAACAGAAAAATGTTATGAAATTCCAGAAGGTTGATCGGGCATGATTTACCCATTCCAAAGGGATTTGGGTTGCCATTTATATAGGTACTCTTCTCTCTTGCTTCTCATGACCCTCCTCTTCGACCGTGCTTTCGATCTCCCTGTTTGCCCCCCAGCCCTCCACCCTCCCTGACCCTCAGCTCAGGTCAGTAACTTTGTCTGTCCAGCACCTTGGGACATCCTCCCGACGTGAAAGGCGCTTTACAAATGTAATTTTGTTGTTGATTATTGATTCAATTAGTTGATTCTCATGTCAGCCTAATGTGCCATTACTTTCTATGCATGACCTCTGTTATCCATCTTAAATATAAGAACTACTTATTTGCTTGTTTCCAGCCTATTGGAACCATCCCTGCTTTTATTATCTCCCTCAAATGCCCATCAATAATATATATATCAATATAATATTATACTATATATCAATAATCGCAAAACCCTTCCATTATATCCTAACCTCCTACCATCCTGTTTGCTCCCCCCGCCTAGCAGGCTCCATCCTGCTTCACGTCCCCTGCCTTGCTCGCCCCACCCTCTGGAACTCGATCCCACAGTCCCTCTACCTCGCCTCCTCCCTTGCCATCTTCAAGACCCATCTCAAGACCCTTCTCTTTGACCGTGCTTTCGATCTCCTGCTTCCCCCCTGCCCTCCACCCTCCCCCATTCCGACCCCCAGCTCGGGTCCGTAACCCTGTCCGTCCAGCGCCTTGGGACATCATCCCGACGTGAAAGGCACTTTACAAATGTAATTTTGTTGTTGTTATAATCCTTACATTTAGAATCGAGCCTTTCATTTGAGAGGACATCCCAAAGTGCTTCACAGGATATACTGAAAAGTGGAGTGACTGTGTGTTTTGTGGGGTGTTTTGAAGTAGTCTTCAATGGCTTAGCCACCTACTCTAGCCCAATTCTTTTGTCATTCTCCTCAGCTCTTTGGATTCTGGCTTAATGCTCATTCCACAGTCCTTTATTCCACCACCATTTGCCAAGCCTTCAGCCACAAAGTCTCCTGGTAGTCTCACCTACAATTATTTAGTTGTATTCTTTCTCTCCGTGCTTTTGTAACCTATCCCTTTCACCGTGCCTTTGGTCAATATCCATTATTTTCTTTCCTCTCCTTACTGGTGCTTAGTGCTCCCTTTCAACTCTACAAAGTGTTTTGAGACATTCATCCTACACGAAAAGCACTATATAAGTGCAAGCTGTTCTTGTAGTTACAATTCTCAGGGTGAAATTACAGTACTAAATCCAGGTAAAAAGATCCATCCACAGAAAACTGCTGAAAGATGAAGTTTTCAGGATATCTCAGCTCACAGATTTCTGTGAGGAATTGTAAGCTCTGATGGTTCTTTGTTAGGAACCGTAGTGTGATTTGTAATCGGCATCTGTAAATCCAGTAATTTTACAAGTAAAGGTGAAGTCTTACATTAGCATCTATGCCATGATTATCTTCCAAGGCATCATTCAATCGACATACAAATTCCTACAGCCTTTCCCTGGAGTACTCCATTACAACATACGTTGACCATAATAATTATTTGGTAAACAGTGACCAAATACAGATAGATAAACTGTAAGAAGAACACCGTCCTTTTATCATGAAGTTATGTATTTTATTTAGGAATAGTTGCAAGGCCACAGTTTACTAAATTGACACACACAAATGTAGTATAGACAACCTAAATGTTTAAATGTGGATTTGTTTAAATCTGAATACTGGCTAAACCAGGAAACATTTTTACCCTCTGATAGATCTGAGTGGTTCAGTGCAGCATTAGTTGTTTGGTGAATAGAAAACTACTGTAAGCTTTAATAATAATAATTATTATAATAATTGTAAGCTTTGAGATGCATTTGAGCTTCTGATAGGTCTTGTCTGCCTGTTCAAGCGAACATTAAAGGGTCCAGGACGTTAATCAAATTGAGAAGTGACTTCTTAGTATCCTGCCAAAAAATGTAAAAAGTGATTATACTCTTCTTGACGTTTGGGGGACATTGCTGTCTATGAATTGGCTGTTGCATTTACTTACAAATACACAGTCGCTAGATTTTTGCAGAAAACTTATAGATGTTTTGATGTGATGAAGCGCTATTTCAAATAAAAAGATTATTCTTATGATGAATGCACCAATTGGAGATTCGACCTAAACCAGCAAACCATTGATGTGTCATTACAGCAGATATACAGTTATCTTGTTCAAGGGGAGATCCTCGTTGAATTGAATACTAGCATCTGAAAACTGAGCAACAGCTAAGATTGTTTCGTAGTGTACAATAATTACACCTATATCAAAATGCCTGTATATTGTCAAATTAAGGGGAAAAAATTACATTTTCATTGAATTAGTGAGAGCAGGAAATGGTATTGTGTGAATGTGCCAGTGACTCCAGGATTACTTTGTTGTATCTCCCTCGTATTTGCACCATATGTTTGTGACACTTCAAGTTTGGCATGTGAGCAAAGGTATTCACAGTTTCACACCATGATAAATTCTCCTGTTTAGACTTAGAAATTTATCCTGACACAGACCCAAGCACAAGGTTGATGCACACATTTGGCAAACACACAGTGACAGATTGGTTCTGCTCAATTTATTCTGGTTGATTTTTCAGTGCTTATTTGACATTGCGCCTTATCACATCTTTGAGACGTCTCAAAGTGTTTCACACAACAACAACAACAAGATTACATTTGTATAACGCCTTTCACGTTGGGAGGACGTCCGAAGGCACTGAACAGTATACAGCATTTCAGACCTGAGCTGGGGTCAGGGCAGGAGAAGGGAGGGGAAGGGCGGTGGCCGATGGCATGGTCGAAGAGGAGGGTTTTGAGGCGGGACTTGAAGGAGGCTAAGGAGAGGGCGAGACAGAGTGATGGGGGGATGGAATTCCAGAGGTTGGGGGCAGAGTGGCTGAAGGCTCTCCCGCCAATGGTGGGGTGGGTTGAGGGACGTGGAGCAGGCCAGAACCGGCTGAGCGGAGGGAACGGGCGGGTTGGTAGGGGGTTAGGACGTCGCAGATGTGGGGTGGGGCGAGGCCATGGAGGGCTTTGTAGGTGAGGGCCAGTATCTTGAACGGGACCCTCTGAAGGATAGGGAGCCAATGGAGTCGTGCGAGAATGGGGGAGATGAGGTCACGGAGTTTGATGCAGGAGAGGACTAGAGTTCTGGATTATCTGCAGCCTGTGGAGGGAGGAGTTGGGAAGGCCGACAAGCTTGTAAAGTGAATTGACTGTATATTTTGAGAGTGAACTCATAGTTTGATAGCTCAGTGCCATCTCTTCAGCCTCATTATTACAACATTGTTTTGCACTATTATTTGATTAGATGCCTGGAATTACTGCTAAAATATTCTATTATTTGTATTACATGACACTGTTGACATCTTTTCAAGAGAAACTTGAGTTACTGTGTGACATGTTAGTTGGAAATATTGCCCAAAACGTTTCTGCTCACAAATATTTGTAGTACATTTTATAATATTAATAATCCTCGCATTTGTTATATTTGTTATAGTGCCTTTTGTGTTAGGAAGATGTCTCAAAGCACTTCACAGGATTTTACTGTGAATTGGAGTGACTGGATTTGTAGATGAACTCGGCAACCAATTTACGCACAGCAGTATCCCACAAAAAGCCATGAAGTAAATAGCCAATTATATTTGGATGGAACCTTGGTTTAACTTGTCATCCAAACGACAGACCACTGATAATGCAACAACCTCCAGCACTGTAATGGAGCGTGAGTTTGATTCCCAACTGGGGCTCGAACCCACAACCTTTTGACTCAGAGGTGACAGTGCTACTAACTGTGTCAAGCTGACACCTTAATATGCTAAAGCATGGCCCGCAGATGTTACATGTTATGAAAGCCCTTTTCTTTGACCATTGATAGTTTGACAAAATACCATTTTCCCCAAATCTGTCCTCTTCCTCCTCAAAGGTGTTTTGACTAATTCTCTTCCAGTGGGATACCGATTGCCCTCTATTGCTTTTCAGAATTGGTCATTCCCCACATGTCAGACTTGACAGTGTATGTTAGCAGCAATCAAGAGCTGGATTCCTGGCTGAATTTCTTCTCCGTAACCTGGGAATCTGAGGCCAATTGTAGCGCCTTCATGCTGCCCCATCTACTATTGAGGCATGTCCCCAAAAATATACAATCAATTCATTTTCAGTGTATTTTGTGAAGCGCTTTGAGATGTGATAAGACCCAATATCAAATGCAAGTATATTATTACCTGTTTTTTAAAAAAATCACAAAACAATAAGCTTGTTCACAACTGGAGTCCTGTTTAAACCAAGGAGACACATTTCTAGATAGAAACGGACAAGGAACCAATTTCCATTTTCAATTTATTTACTTTTTACATTTTGTTTTACTCCTTTGTCTTTGAACAACATGAACCTCCCCTTCCCAGGTCGCTATCAATGCTATTACTGATGCTATTCAATTGTA